CTCAACACCGCAGTTCTGGACACCTTCCAGTGCTTTTTGGACGACATCTTCAATGGCGAGATTGGAGAGGAAAGGTGAAATAGGGCAACCTTGGCGAACATTGCTGCTCACAGCCCTGACGTTGCCTGACATGTGACTGTAAACTTCTTTTAGGATGGTTACAAACTTGTCAGGCACACATTTCTTCAGTAAACAGTACCACAACGCTGATCTATCCACTGAATCAAATGATGCTCGGATGTCCAAAAACACCACGATTGTTGGCCGCCGGTGCATGTAACGAAGTTCGATAAGTTGGAGGAGCGTGAAGACTTGGTCGATGCAGCCGCGGCCCGGAGGAAATCCGGCTTGTTCTTCTCGGGAAAACTCCTTTCTAGTCGTTGAAAGCCTGCGAAGTAGGACCGACACCAAGAGTATGAATGCGACAGAGATTAACGAGATTTCGCTGTGGTTGCAGCAATCGTTGCGGGAGCCTTTCTTGTGAATCGGAACAATGACCGATTCTCCGTATGAGTTCGGAGCCTTCGCCTCAGTTAAAACTTTCGTGAACAGCGATAGGATTTCGCTGACAGGTACACTGCCGCCATCTTTGAATAGAGCCGGTGGTAGGCTGTCGGGACCCGGAGCCTTGTGGCGTTTCAAAGATTGGATTGTATCTCGGATCTCTGGTTCATAGGGGGGAGTGTGGAGACAGGCCAAGCATCATCCATTAAGGCTGGAGGTGCCACAGGGGCTGTGGTTGAAAAGCGAAATGCTCTGCCAAGCCACCCAATTGCCTGTGAAGGTTGGTGATCTTCGTGCCGTCTGGTTCGAAAATCGTCTGGCGAATAGCGTGGGAATTGCAACCGGTGGCGCTAATGATGCAAAATGGACGGCGGAGGTTGCCAGCTGATACAGCGCCTTCCATCTCATCAGCTCGTTTTGACCACTAGGATTCACGATCAGAGCGAAGGCTCACTTCCAGCTGTTGCATAATAGACCGGCGGTGTTCCTTGTGCTCTGCGTCAGCAGGCACCACACGTCAGCGATCCAGCAATTCCGAGGATCTTGCATGATCCGACGCTTGGGAGTGAAGCGAGCGAGGCCACAGCTGGACAAACCGAGCGACAGCGAGGCTTGTTGCAGACTTGACCAGGGTTGATCAAGGTCCAGAGTGGGAGAGAGAGCGAGATTTTCCCGAAGCATTTTTTGATACTCGTTCTTCACCATTGGATCCTCCAACTTGTAGGTGTTCAGTCGGGTGCGTTTTGACATAGGTGAACCATCGAAATGCATGCAAACCGTGGTACATACCAGTGCATGATCGGGATCGAGGGGTGTTAACCAAAATGATCGTCAGTCGCGTACGCTGCCGCGCCACCTGCGACTTATGGCTATGTGGCCAATCTGTGACCGGCGCTGGGTTGATGATGGGGGCGCCAAGTGGCGTACTGCATGAGGAAAGCTGGTGCTGGAGAGGAATAGCTGATGATCAGCACACAGAATGAGCAGTCTCTCTCCGTTGTCTGAGTGAACATCATCATATCTATGCGGTATCCCGAGGTGACGCTCAAATGGCAGCAGACGACCGACACGCACGTTGAAGTCTCCTGCCAAAACAATGATGTCTGTTTTAGGAGCCCTTAGGAGCAGCTCAAGAAGGTTCTGTTAGAACTGGTCTTTGACTGTGTCCGAGCTAGTCACTGGGCGCGTAGGCAGAGATCACGAAGAGAGCATGCCTTTCAACTCGACGTCTGCTAAGTTTACTAGAGCCATGGAGGCTCATCGCACAAAGGCGACTATGGATCGGAATCCAATCAATCAGAGCAGTTTCGGCTCTAGCACTGAGGGCGATGCCAACACCAGCTTGCCCAGATGCGGCAGACTCGGCGTCACCATAGAGGCGGAGATGGAAGCGGGTGCGTGGGTGGAGCGGTGACGCCAGCTGGTAGACCGAGTTAGAGTCCTGGAGTCGCGTTTCGCTCAGGCAACAGATATCAATTCCAAGGGTCTCTAGCGTGCGTGAAAGTCCAGCTTGCTAATGCATCTGCAGTAATGTACGTACATTGAAGGCTGCAAGTTTGAATTGCGTGCCGGGTTGCAGGAGCGGAGATGGGAGACTTCGGGACTAGCAGCTCTCCGTTGCGTACTGTGTGGTTGAGTTGGCAGATGTCCTTTGTATTGCGGCACAATAGCTGAGGTGTTTTCTACCTGCAGCTAACGGGTATAATGCTGATGATGATGATGGTTGATCGCCATAGAGGAATCAGGTAGAAATGGATGTGAATGGTACAAGGGAAGAGTAGGTAAAATGGTGGCGTGTGCTTGTGAAGTTGGCATAGTAACATGAGTGAATAGCATCGTAGCAGCAAGAGAGCATGTGAATGGTTGTGGTCGTAAGTCCATGGTTCGTCAGTGGGGGAGATACTACCCGGTTACCCAGACTGAAGTAGAGGGTTGTCTTAGGGAGCCCTACCCCGAGCATTTGATCAAGGATCTAACCTACAAGACATCAGGGGATATGAGGGCATCGCAACCCGTCGTGAGCCGGTGACCAAACAAGTGGTTCGTACGCCTTTAGGACCGCCTAGGACCAGGGGCCCAACACACCGTTAAAGAGCAATGCCACTCAGAGTGAGACAAATGGCAGTAACTTTATTTAGTGGCGAGTCACATCCGTCACGTCAGTGTTGTTAAACGGACATATATGGCTTTTATAGGGAGAACGCTTGCCAGGCGGAAACCCATCACTTCCTGGAACACTGCCGCCGAACCATTCGCTGGAACGGGATAATCCCGAACCACCCAGCTGGCACCACGAGGAGATTGTTCGGCAAGCCAGCTGTGGGGAAGATATATTCTTACATTTACATTTACACTATTCGTGTTGAAGAACTAAAGGAATTGTGTGACTGTACAATGATGGAATACCAACGCATCTAGGATACGGGACAACCAGATGGCTTTCATTTATGCCAGCAGTGAAGATAATCCAGAAGGTATTTTCAGCGTTGAAATCCTATTTTTTCTCGACAGAAGTGTCCTACAGTGTCAAAATATTTCTTTGAAGTCCTCTGCCCTGAGCTGTGTCTCTCCTTTATAAACAATATCCGCCATTTTCCACGCTACTGTACTAGTGAAGAATAAAATATTTCTGCATTATCAAGTCAAGTAAGCTTTATCCATCCGTATGGGTGCCTTTTCCGCATTTTTACACCACTGCGGATTATTGGACAACAAGGCATAACTGAGAAACAATAATTAAAAACGGTAAACCAAAAATGACATGTTCATATGAGCATGCGGTCGCAAAAGCGGAGTTTCATTCCTGTTGTGTCGATTAGTAAGCGTTTTTATGTAGTAATTCATTCAGAGAAGATAACATAGTGGATGCAACAGGTAAGAAACGGTCGTAATGATATAGCATTCCTAAAAGCGAATAAAGCCACCAATGTTTCTCGATTTAGGGCATCCTAAAATGGGTTTTATCTTGTAATCTAAAACATCTAAACTGACCTTATCAAGCCTATATCCAAGATAGCACACAGATGAAGAAAGGAAGTCACATCCTACACCTACACCTTTGTACTTTAGGTCCGTTTCGCGCTAATCTTTCAAGCACAACAGAAGGTCTGTGTGAAGAATTATTGAAAACATATGTTCGCTTAAAAACATTGAGTTTTCATCTATCAATGAGATTTTTTACTACTAGAATGTGTGTAGGTGTTCTGCGTCGGAGCATCCGGAGATGAAAATATCAGCCAAATACACACAATGAAAAGGTATATAATTTACGAAAGCATGACTAATCCTTTGAAAGACTCCACGAGCAGTTGATACCAAAACATAAATGGGTATATTGGCAAAGTCCCGTGTGTACGATGCTTGTAGTAAGTTCTCGAGAAGGCTCGTCGAGCTCTAATTGTGAATATGCGTGACTGAGATCAAGTTTGACGAATTTTTTGTCACCTGCAGGTGTAGCATACAAGCCTTCAATGCACGTTAATGGATATCTGACTATCGTGGAAGGCTGGTTGGCAGTCATGTTGGAGTTGCCGCAAATTCGCACGGAGACATCTGGTTCACGAACTACTGGGATGAAAACTCTAAAAAGTGCAACTAAAATCCGGCTACTAACGAGTAATATAAAAGATATAGGTACTATGGACAGTACCTAACGAAAACATGTCATGACCTCGCCGGCTAGCCACCGTCAGTGACAGTGGAAGATAGGTCGTGCTATATGCCACTAAGCTTGCAAATTATATAGCCCAACCAACTCCCCCATGGCTCAGTGGATTAAGCTGCTCTCTAATTGGCATCTGTCTCTAGCGGTCATGGGTTCGATCCCCATTAGAAGACCGGCACACTGTACCGACGCTTCGCTGCCACGCGACCACCACCGGTCGGGCATGGGCTGAGTGTACCGCGAGGAGGTCCGCCCGTACGCGAATTCGAACCAGTGCCCTAATGATTGAAGCCAGGCGTACAATCCTTTCGGCCACCGGCCAAATTTCTCTAGTAACCGCAGACGACTGCAATGAACGGTAACCTCTGAAAGTAACCCAATGTCAGGAGAGTGTACAGATGTGCTCGTAAATACTGCAATTGATTGTTCGTATTGGTCACCACCCTTAGTACCATGCATTAAAACGGTTTTAGTCATCTCATTTGGTGGAGAGTGTCCACGTACCGTTCCAAATTTTAAAAAGTTGCTCCATAGAAACGAGTTATCCAAATGACCAATACTAAACATGAAACCTCTGATACACTGCACTCAACGTATAAGAAAAAACACTAATACACTGGTCTACTCAAATGGCAACATGTATCAAGTCTTCAATACAGAACGACTGCTTGTTGTTAACATCCCAATGAAAAACACTATCGTGAATTTTATCAGTTAGGCCACATGAATTTATTCAAATTGCTAATTGACAAATGCATTAAGATTAAGAACCCTCTGTTAATCAAAAGTGAAATTTTCATTTTATGGAAGCATTCAAATGTGTTCAGCTTACTTGTAGGCATTAAGCAAGGATGCATAGGCTTCATTTCGCCTCTGTAGTCCCAACAAACTGCTGTTCCATTGAGCCATTAGATGTTTGCGGTCCGTGGTGATCGCGACTATCTGCGCCTCTGCTTCGTGCAATAGGTTCTGACTAATAGACATTTCGGCCTCCTGAGCAGTAATTTGTGCATCGTACAGTGCGATGTCCTCCTTGAGCTGGTCGACTTTGGTCTGTATACGATCCACCAGCATATCTTGTCGTAGTTTGTCGTCTTCATACTGTTAGAGAAAGGCATGTAATAGTCGCACCATCGATCCCTTCGATTTAGTCTTTCTATGTTAGGACAAATACACCCAGTCGTCCGCTTTATTTTCACCTAGCATGCCCACCAACGACATATTAACAACGGTTCCAACCTTATGGATATGTTAATTATTAAAGTTTTATCAATTATAAACCAACTTAGTTCGGCTAAGTGAATAAAAGCAAGCGATCGTTTATAAAAGGGAAGTAAGAGAGTTCATTGCAATTCAGGTGCTTTGATGGACCACGAGCAATAAAGCTTGATTATTGTACATCCCTTATTCCTATGAGACTGATTATCTACTTGCCACCTGAAAGGTATGGTTCGGTAACCTGAGAATGCTCACGTCATATGGGCTCCGAGCTGTTGAGATAACTCTTCCGGAATAAAACAAAGTCCGGGCCTCAATCAAAACCCATTATTCAATGAACAAAAGGATCAAGTTATATCTCGTATGAAGTAGAACCATTCACATATGTGACGCAGTTGCATAGATTATTTATTTCAAGACCGGCGCTCAAGCTTAGTTCTTGTCAGTCCAAGTCAATTATTCACCATGCATCCAGGCCGTGTAATTATATTTAGCTCGCATCGGTTGCGGCATATTAAATTGCAAACAGTTGGATTCATGTTCGCCCAACTTGCCTGCTCGAGCCGCCACCATCATAGTCGGTGTGGCAACTTACCAACACAATACTGCTTTCTGTTGTGTACTTCTGAAGCTGCAGGTTCCCTATTACCTTCCACTGGGTGTGCTCGTGCTATTTTGGGCTGCGTTGTTAGCCGGTTCGTTCTGCTGGCTCTGCTTCTGCTCATGATGTCGAGTATGTTCGTCACGCTGTATGCTCAGCTGCATTCGGTCCAGTCGAATGACCTTATTCCTGACCCTCTCTTTATAGCGTCACCTTACGACCTTCAATTAATCTCTACGTCCAGCGCCGGTCAGTCCCAGGTCTCGGTTCAACGAACACTTCGTTCCCAGACTCCAGAGGTGGGAGACGTCTTAGGTGAAAATCGTAATACGCTTTTGGTAGCAGCATTCCCTTGCGTAGTTGGTCTTGCAAGATAATACTCGAAGTTGTTTCTGACTGCAGTAGAGGGAGTTTTATGCTTCGAACACGGTAGAACATCAGTTAGTGTTGGTATCGCGTACTACTCTCTATGAGCGTAGCATTAAGCGGTTTAGGATCGGTGCACGCATGCCAAGCGCCTGATTTCTCAGTGGCTATCGCCAGCTGACCAAGAAAACTGTCGGTTCATCGACTTTGGCTATAACACCCAGACGGACCAAATGCTGCAATATGTCTGAAAAATTTTCCCGCAAGGTGATAGGCAATTTTTTAGTTGGCAATGCTACTAGTTTCGCGGATTCTTTCAAAGACAGACGTTCGATCGCTTAGGACTTCCTTTTGAAATTTTCAAACATGATGGAAAATGATTGGCAATGTCTGTGTTGGCTTCACAGGAATGAACTAAACATCAATGACTAGAAGGGAATAAAAAGGCGTTAGCAGTATGCCAGTAAGCAGTACAGACACTTCGCTGCCGTGCAACCACCACCGGTCGCACGTGGGCTAAGGATACTGCCAGGGTCGCCCTGCGGCTACGTAGGCTAGAACCTGCGCTGCAAAAATTACGAGACAAGATAGTTACCATTAGGCTACAAGCCAAAAAAGTGGATAAGCCCAAATGCTGCATGGAATCAATGACCCGGATGGGCATCGAACAAGTTTCTGACCCATTATTCGGAATTACGGCCTTCGCCATGACACCCCTTCGGTGGTACCTCCGAGTCATCCAACATCCTGAGTCGACTCCTTGTTTTGTGGTATTCTGTTCCCCCACAGTACTTCGGGGGCGGTATTTTGACACTGGCTCCCTAATCTAGCTGAAAATACACCGACTGATCTTACCACGACCAAGCAGTCAGTGTATTAGCCCATGGCCGCTAACCGGTTGAAGTATTGCAAGATACTCTCAAGAAGGCGCAGGCAGCTGCATCTTGCAGACCAGCTAGTCAGATATCTTGACTCTCGGGTTTTATGAGCAGCGACCTGCGTAGCGCATCGGTACCATGCACAGATTAGTATAACGAACTTAGTATGGCCACATGTTTTTAATAACTGGTATCCGAAGCAGGAAATCACAAAGGGTGAACTGGTTACCGTGGATACTACGTTGGTTTTAAGGTAGCCAAAAGATAACCGCTTTGACCACACAAACAAAATTAATAGAAAAAGAATAGAACGTCGGCAGGAAATAAAATAGAGAGAGAAAGTGGTACAAGCGGGTATGAAGCGACAAATCTGTTTATAAACAGAGGTCGTTGAGGACAGGGTTTTGTCACCATTTTCGATAGATTACAACTGCTGACCACAATGCAGCATTTGCATTGAACTACGGTTTCAATCAACATTACTACTACTGGTCAATTACGAATAAGGCAGAAGGCACAAAGTTGCATCCGGGGCTTACTTACTTTGGATAGGTCAATAGTCGCCTTGTCGGCTGCTCGTTTCATCACCCTGATATCGCTCATCACGTCTTCTCTTGCTCTGCTTAAATAAAACAGCCTCAAACTCAGTGAATCAACCTCCTCACGCATTCGGTGCATGGATTTGGTATCCTCATTCAGTCCTTGAACGCAATCATGATACACTTCTCGCAGTTCTTTCAAATTCTGCTGTGCGTTTTCAGACGCCTCTTTGATAGATTTGTATTCTTCATGCTTCTTTTCTAGTTGCACTTGAAATCTGAAAATATCGCCAAGCATTGCAAATTAATGCAGCATACATTTCCCCTACACAATGGAACTCTCTAGGTTCTACAAAAAAGCGACTAAAGTAACCGTATCGGCTGCACTGAAATGCTGATTATAGTAACTACATAAGTGGCAAATACTTGTAATATTGGTAGCGCGGAAGGCTAGTTCAGTCGTTATTGTGTTCGCTGATCTGGGCAACATAGCTTTTAGGGAAGAAGGGGTCACATTGGCTGCCTCAAATTCCATGGGTTGCGATTTGAAAAGCTGAATATAGGACAGGGGTTCGATTGGTCCGCGAAGTCGACATCGGTAAATGAAGCACCTGAGTCCCATTAAGGACGCTATCATCATGGTTACCTGATCCGTAAGCTCAGGACAGGGAGAGAAGAAAGGTTGTCAGCTGCATTACATTGCCTCAGTCCTCCACTTACTGTTACTCGGGGACAGTAGCGATTCACAATATTCAATCTGTTCGCGCTTTTCTACGTTTAATGTTACCCATAGGAAGCGCACTTAGGAGATGGGCTGTAATTCACCTTTCGCTAAGACTTCATTAATATTACCATAGCGTCGAACTACTCACAAGTAGCACAGCTTTTAGTTGAAACATAATAGTCAACCGTGTCCAGAGTAGTTTCTGTCCTGTTGGCGTCGAGTATCTGCTTATGCTTCTGCCGGATCTCCTAGTGGCAACCATTTGAACGAAAAACTATGGTTACCTTCTCTGGAGTGAGGATAGCCTCTTTGTTCACCTCAGCATAATGTGACATCTGTGGCCGTGTGAGAGACTACAGGAAGATAACCTACACTGTCGACTATTACATGAGATACGAAAGGCATAAGTAGAAATTCGTCACATTTAGACTCACTCAGACAGCCGCCACACAGACTGGCAACAGTCGAGTTGAGGGTTCGAGCCCTACCAGGGTCCGATGGAATGCGCACTGCTGACGATTCCCGAAAGGATGGAACGCGCGTACAGTGCTTTTCCGGGCGTGTGACGGCTGTCTGAGTGAGTCTAGATGTGACGAATTTCTACCTATACCATTAAACCCCCCCTACTACTCCCCTATGTAATCAGATACGAAAGGAATTTTGACTGCTATCTCTCCCGTCAGCTTACTAGTTCGCGAGCCTGATAGGTCTAGGGCACCCTTGCAGTATCTTAACCTAGTTGTTGTCGTCTACATTCTCACAGGGATGAGGCCCCAGTCGGCAGTACTGGCGTGCAAGTACCGCCTTTTAATTTTCAGTGATGGAATCGACCAAGATTCATTTCAATGCGAATCACGATACCCATTGAGTTTGTGTGTCGAAATCCATTCACATATCAAGTGCTTAGAAATGGCCCTTCAATCAATTGCTCAGGATATTTCTACAAGATATGTGGAAAGAGGAGAGTACAGGTCACTAGGGCTGAACCCAGCTGCTTCATAAATCTTACTGAGTAGGAGGACTCAAAACATCGCACGATTCGATACGTATTTCATAATCTTAACATACAGGGAATTGCGTCATATCTGGAGTAAAGCGCAAATGGTCATTCCAGTTATTGAAAAATCACTAATAGTTGACCGGAAACTTTGGTGGATGTTAAGGCACGTGAGATTAGGACAAGCTCCACTGTAAGTACGCGAGTACCGTTCTACCTTATTCAATGCACGGATTCAAGAAAAACACCAGTGGAACGAACAATGGCTGAAGAAAGTATCCAGCTGATTCACTCACAGTCCCATCGACTAGAACACAGGTTTAAGTATCTTGATGCTCAGTTCAGTTGGCCCCGTGCATCCGACTTTGCCAGTTGGATCGCCTAAACCTTCGTGGGATATTACCGTAACGGGTCCCGCCACTGACTTGATCCTATACGAACTAGTGCCGTTTCAGCGGAACCTGGTTCTTGACCCAGACGGCCTTCCAGTGTCACTGTGAAAGCTGATCGGGACTAATTAGTAGGCATGTTGATATCCCTGTTCCATACAATTTGGTACGATGAGGAACTGTCTCCCGACTGCTGGTTACTGACCTTTGGTTTGCTCCCGTAAAAAGTGCCGATGGTCGTATTGTGAGAAGTATCGTGGTGACAGGTTGATCCTAACTGCTTTCGAACTGCTGACGCATTCTGTCGTGGTGATCCGCTGATCACCACGAGAAACGAATCACGGAGAGCCGGGTCGGTTCTCATCCCCATAGAGCATCCCTTGACATTTTCCCTCTTAGGCAGGTACTTGAACGTTACCATTTTTACAACAATATGTATTGGTACATTGTTGAGGCTTCGCACTATAACAGGTGTTTTCATTGCAGTACGCAGCTAAAAATTGGACCATGGTTAATTTTGAAGTAACCCATCGTCGCTCTGAATTGGCGATTTCTCGCTGTTGCTCGTCTCTAACACTGCACTCTGTTTGGAGTTATCATGTGGAGATATCCAGAGTCGGGATTAAAACCCAAGAGGTATTGATTAACAAGTGAATCGTTCGTATGAAAAAAGAGTACGAAGGTTTCTTTCCGAGGCTGGGTCGCATGGGCCACATGTTAACCCCGGGACAGGTGGAAGGACCACTATACTCGCTCCGCTGGTCAAGTTGGTGAAGTTCCACACTTACAAACTGGCATCTGTTTCGAGGTTGTTTCCGATAAACCTGCTCGGATGTGTTCCAAACAAACGAGTAAACAAGCTACATGCTCTATACTTAAACACTATAGGTCACAGTTATGGAAACACATGGATGTCTTTCCGACAATAAATGGTGCTAGTCAGGGTTGCTCAACATCCTGCTTTCGTTTGGAATTTTTTGCACTCCATCGTGAACCGTTTCTGTGTGAAAGCTCACGATGTCAAAGAAAGTCTGGTCTGGTGGAAAATAAGTTCATTTGGATTATGCGGATGATATTTTCCTGCTTGTTGACATTCTTGGGGCAGTTTAGTCAATACAAAACACAGTTTCTTGAGTGACGTCAGTTAGTGAAATAGGCTATGCGCCAAAGTGCTATCACATGGTCACCAGGCACTTGTTGATCATATGCTCTGGGACAAACACACTAACAGTTTCAACAAATTACTGGAGCTTTACTAGAGCCATATCACACCATTTTGTTACCTCCACATATTTACAACCTCTCCATGAAAGTGTCACATTGATATAGCTTGAAAAATGTGAGTAACTTATTTTATTTCACTGCATGCAAATGTTATCCAAAGGTATATCGGGAAACTAATTTCACTCTACAATCAAGGACCTTGGTTTTGGGATACTAACTCTGTCCAGCCTGATTCTTCTCGTTCGGAAATCTCACCTGAAGCGCCAGCTGCCAAACTCCAATGTAGCGAGTAATTTAGTTATCTCTCCGCGATATATATACATCAGGTTACATCTGCCCCATCTTTGTGTGCCAACAACCCGCTCTCGACAGGACTTCGGTAAAGGAATGTGAAGGGAGAACTTTTTATTTTATGTTGATGGTTCACCACATGTTAATGCCACAGCCGCGTCCTCAACCCACCGTCGACTCAACAACAGGCCAAATATTTCCACCGGTTATTTATGTAAAAAATTTACCTACTTGTTTACGTTTTTCTCAAATAGGATACTAAGTCCAGCGCTATCAGATTAGGTTGCTGTGCAGGTTGTAGTCGGAAGCAAACACTTTTGGATGTCCATTAGTCACGTGCGTTTATGTATGATATTCGCTGAAAAAGGAATAAACATATCTCAAAGCAACTCACGACTGCATTATGTCTTTGGGGCACCCAGATTACACCAGAGTTAAGAATGCCCAATGGGAACTCTAATAATAACTTTATCTCATAGTAGCTTAATGTTACTACAAGTGAGATCCATCGCATTCAGAAAGTTTATTAACTGGAACCGGACAAATATAGTGTCAGCTAACGCGCAGCGATAAGCTGCTACTTTGGGCAGCCATAGTTCTCGGCGGGCCTCAAGTCAAGTCAAAGGCAACAATGCGCTTTTACATACTCATGATGAGCGAATATTTCGGGTCGAGTATTAACCACAATCCCGTAACTTTAACCAACCTCTGACCCATTTCTTATGTCACCACAAAACCCTCCAAGCAGCTGGGTCCCTCACGACTCAATATTTCTTATCCGTGAGACACCCATTGGATGTGACATATACGCACAGAGTATCCTCACTGTATCACTCATACATTACACACATAATAAGCAACCTGGATGGCGGTTCCACCCAATTTTTGGAAATCTTAGTTGAACCGTTGTCTCCATATTCGTCTGAGACATTGCTCTACTTGCAGCAAATCCTGTTCCTGAGCCGTACATATAAATTGCAATTTGCCTTCGAAAAACTAAGAATGGTTAACGAACATGTAACATAGGTAGCAGTAGAAGGCAGAAACAGTACGCCGGTACTGCGTACCGGCGCTTCGCTGCTGCGCAACCACCACCGGTCGCACGTGGGTTAAGGATACTGCCAGAGTCGCGCTGCCTCTACGCTGGCTCAAACCTGCACCGCAAGATTACGAGGCAAGATAGTTACCATTAGGCCACGAGCCAAAAAGTATACTACGCAAAGGATTAAAATAGTTGTAGTAAATTATGGGTCTTACCACGTTTATGTTTTTCACCGAGATTGATCTTTTATTTGTAGAGCGGTAGCGTTACGTTTAAGTAGTAAAAAACTTACAGTATTACGCCATCTGACAGAAGCATGGATTCAACTAATCCTAACCATAAAAATACCATTATTACAACTCGCTCTTTGTGTAAACTTTCATTCCTGCATACTGTCACTACCAGCGTAGCTTCATTACGAATCATAATATCCTTTAGTACTAATCAGCATTCGTTTGGATATACTTCTGATAGCAGTCGGCACATA